TTAATACTATTTGGGTCAAACTTTGTTTTCTTGATTACAAGTTTTATATTTTCTTTTTTGTCTTCTTACAGGCTGGTAATATTCTCAATATCCATGATGTACCAAACATTTGGCACATTCCTCTCTTACTTAGGGTGGGTTAAGTAACAATTCTGTCTCCTTGGAGGCTTAAATACTTATTTTACATTTTGTCTAAAGTTTTCTTCTAACTATTGTTTGACACGTTGCTGTTCAGAACCAAAATGCTCATCATTCAATTCTTCAACAACTAAATTTACTAAGGTAAGTTTCACCGTTTACTTCAGATTTAAGGCTTCAATTTTGGTGCTGGACTGATAATTAGCATCAGCCTGTTTAAAATTCTTCCTGTGTAATGAGAACAAAGCAATCTCTACGTAGAATTATGCCTGACTTGGACTCCTTTAGTTGATATTTGTGCTCTCTCTCCCTCCCTAATGATTGCAATTGTGATTATAGACTACATTTGTGATTCATTATGATGCTCGAAATGCTACATATATAGATTACAGGAAGGTTGGCTATGTTAACTTACTGGTGTTTAATGTTCTGTTTCAGCATTGCTATGCCTCCTGATCTAAGAGATTGGACCAAGATGGCAGAGACTTACGATAATCTCACAAATTCTGTGAGTGTTATTAGATAAATGTGCAATGCTCTATGTTGGAACATTATCTCTTTTCTTTTTCGATTCATCCGATGATAATCTGTTGATATTTGCAGGTGAGGATTGCCATGGTGGGGAAGTACGTTGGCTTTACAGATTCATATCTATCTGTAGTGAAGGTGTGATCCTAACTTCTGTTCTATTTTTTCGTTGGCTGGATAGATGGTTTATATTATCTCTAGTTTAGACCTTAGAATTTAGTTATTCATATAACATTCAGTTAATATATGAGTTAGTGCTATTATGTCTCCCTGTTGCTTTGTGCCGTACATGCTTGTTAGATTATTTTGTTGTTAATAAATCGCCAACTTTACGTCTGTCGTATTATGACGGCTAAACTTTCTTGCAGGCCCTTTTACATGCTTGCGTCGCATGTTCTTTAAAGCCATCAATTGACTGGATTGCCGCTTCTGACCTTGAAGATGACAGTGCCAAACTGGTATTGAACCACATCATTTGTGCTGATTTGCTTTAATATCATGTCCATACTATCTTTACTTTAGATTTGTCTCTCTCCTACAGACACCAGAAGCACATGCTGCTGCATGGGAGACTCTAAAGGTACGCTTTAAGCTAAATTATCATCCCCTCGCCAGTACAGTTGAGGGTCTGGGTAATTATGTTTCGATCTATTCTACATTTGCAGAATTCTGCATGAGTCTTGGTTCCCGGCGGATTTGGAGATCGTGGAGTGAAAGGTATGATATTAGCTGCGAAGTATGCCAGAGAGAACAATGTTCCTATCTTGGGATTTGTTTGGGCATGCAGATTTCCGTGATTGAGTTCACAAGATCCGTAAGCGACATTTCTTTCACTAACATGTTTTCTTCTAATTTTAAGATCATATATCAGCCGTAATTTAATTACTTGTTTTAGGTTTTGAGTTTAGAAAGGGCGGACAGCAAAGAGTTCGATGAACATACACCAAATCCTGTTGTAGTTTTTATGCCCGAGGTACAAATTTATGGTGATGCTATCCTATTCAGTTATGAAATACATATGGCTGCAACATTCTTCCAGTGATAGTTCGTTCTTTTATGTCTGCATATAGGGTTCAAGAACACTTATGGGAAGAACAATGAGACTGGGATGCAGAAGAACACTTTTCCAGACTCCTGATTGCATTACTTCAAAGCTCTATGTTCATTATCTATTACTACGTTCAACTTGAGATATACAAGAGATAACCTGTCTGTTACTGAAAATTCAAATTATAAGTTCAGTTACCTTGTTGCATTTATACAGTAAAGTCGATGCAGGTGCCATGTGTTCAAACACTTTCGGTCTGGAAGAACCCATGGCACACGCAATTGAACTTTTACCTTTACTGCATTTATGCTGTAAAACTCTTGAACTTTGTTGGCTAGTTTATTATTTTGCAGGAAGTCTTTCCTGACATCTCAACTATATGTTGTATCTGTGACTGCTTATATCAAAACTAATCCCAGAAGACTGCCACTTTGAAACTTCTTAGTTTTCCACTATTAGCATCCACTTTTTAACATTGGTAATCTGTTATTGCTATCAATTTCTAGGTACCATAACTCGGAGTATGTGGATGAACGGCATCGGCATAGATATGAGGTTGGTTGTAATTTAGTTCAGGTGAAACATGATCTTTCACAAGTGCCTTTATGTGGTGGACATGGTATGATTCCGTCATGATGCAGGTGAACCCAGATGTTATTGGAATTCTTGAAGAAGCGGGCCTAAAATTTGTAGGGAAGGATGAGAGTGGAAGACGAATGGAGGTGGGTTTTCTTCTGGTCTTATGCTCACTTGTAGTGAGCATTTGTCAGAATTTACTTGGTTATAGTTGCACACAATCCTTTCTTACCATTTACTGAAAAGAATTGAATTTGAAAATTTGACATTTTACATGATTTGTGTTACTTTTCTGTTCTGCAGATTTTAGAGCTTCCAAGCCATCCATTCTATGTAGGAGTGCAATTTCATCCAGAATTTAAATCACGGCCTGGGAAGCCCTCAGCTCTCTTTTTAGGTACTAATACAAACAAGTGATCAGCTTTAGATGTCATGTACTCACATTTCTTGTTATTACTGGGAGACATGTATAGCTGCAACATGCATCTTCGAATTACTATGTTTCTCTTGCTGTATCTTAGTGTTTGATATAGAACTTGGGCCATGCTTGTTTCGAAGTACATTACGGATTGTCTCTTTACAATTCCCATTTACATTCAGTGAAGCTCTATCAAGTCATTAAGTCTCTGTACTTCATTTGACATCTGTGACCTTGCAATTCTAGGTCTTATCTTGGCAGCAACAGGGCAGTTGGAAACATATCTTGACCAGCATCCAAATACAAGTTGACAGCATTGAGTCGCTGTCTCAATATTCCCAGATAATTTTTTCAAGGTAGATTTGAATGTGGATATGGATGGGGCCTAGTGTAGTAAAAGCTAATGTCTTATCTAATTTTGTTACTTTGATCGGTGCACTTGCATAACTTCAAACTTGAACATGGATCGCCATATGACGGAAGTTTACGATGAAAGTGGATCCTGATTGCGGAGCTAGCATCTTATCTTACTGTGGTACACGATTTATCGTGCTGCTCAGTTCAAAGCTTATTCAAATTCTTATTTTTCGGAAGGATTTCTGTAACTCTTGGAATTTTCTTTTCATCATTTATTCACACTTAAAATATGCAGGCATTTGATTCAACCCTAAACAAATGACAGATTATTGTTTCAAAATATTTTTATTTTGTTTTTAATTTATCAAATAGAAAATGTACTTGTAACGTTGTTTACTTTAGTAAGGCCAAATGATTGTACAATATTGCCAGTTGATGCCGCAGACTCACACTATACTCTGTATGCGCGAAAGGAAGACTGATACATTAGGATAGGAGCTCTAGTCTGTTAGCACCTCATGGTCATGAATCATGATCATATGGGCGTTCAATTTCCTTCCATCCTAAGATTCTGAACCATGTTCAAAATGAAAAGACGAATTAAGAGACTCGGTAGTTCTCAAGTGGTTAAGAGTAGTTTTTAAAAAATTTGCATCTATCCAAGGCTATGTGTTTGAATTTGCCCTCCTCCAATATCGTTTGTGTCAAGAAAACGAAACAGAGAAGAGACTCTAATTAACCTGTCAAATCTACAAAAATGCCGCAATAATATATTGCCTCTTTTACAAAATATAATGAAAGCAAGAAATAATGGGAAAAGAAAAGAGAGATTTGGGATGGATGGAGGAGATGTAGCTTGTGGTGGGTGTATTGTATATTAATTAAGCATGCGTCTGAGTGTAGTAATACTAGAGGAGTAGTGTGAGTATGTAATCTGTCTTTGGAGCTTAATTTGCTGATAGAATTTAGCTATAAACTGATCCGCCTTTATATCAACCAATTCATCCTCATAATCTGCACATCCCTTTTCTTCATGCACATTATAATAGTAATATCTTCAGTTATCATTCCCTCCTCATCATCATCATAATCTAATTAATCATGTTGATTTCATGGTGATCATCAAAATCCAGTACTAATGGTGGGTTTAAGCAAGGGATATTAATGAAGTGCATGGAGGAGGATGTTCGACGGTTCAATTTGAGGGTGGGGAAAATGGAAATCTTATCGAAGGACAGCTGACGCTCAAAGTAATATTGATTATCATTGCGATGATGATGATGACGAGCAAGGCTCTTGAGGAAGTTGGGGACGAACCGCAGTTCCATCATGAGGCGTCGTCTGAAGACACCGCCTTTTCTTGCCCAAGGCAATGCCAGACGCAGCTTCAGACCGCCTTTTCTTGCCCAAGGCAATGCCAGACGCAGCAGCTTCCATGCTCTACGACCCACATCAGGATGATGATGATGATGATGATCACCATTAATAGTTTCTTGGACATCTTCATCATTATATCGATCATCAACAATTGCGTATGATGATTTGGTGCAAAAAGAAGGTGCCGCTTAATTAGGTAGCTGATGATACAAAAATGTGTGTGGGAAGAAAGAGACAAATGAGAAAAGCTGATTTGATTTTCTATCTAGTGCTGAATAATGAATATGTCTTGTGTTTGGAATAGACTAAGTGATGAGGACTCGCAGGACAGGAGGTACCTCTCTATAACCAATGCCTGTATACAACTTTGAACATATTTACGAGAACATCAGCCACACCAATGCCAAAGCAAAACAAAAAGGCAAAGCAGAACATAAAGGCCTCTTTCCTGACACCAGAAGAGCACAAAAGCTTAGAACATTTACCCAAAAAACCCTACAGCATATGAAGTGGATGTTCATTCATGCGTTTCAGGGAAGAAAACAAAGGAACAAAAGGGAAAAATTATGAATTGAAATTACTCAGACAGAGAAGAAAACAGCTTGCAATACAGGAGGGCTAAACTACAAAAAAACTAGTTCTGCGGAAAAACAAGTTCATTAAAACTTACATATATGAGATAGGAAAATTTCAAAGTCAGATACGAAAATTCTCATTGTAGATGGAGGCATACATTCAAAAGTTCGGCCATTTAAAGTTCCTAATCCTAAATCCTTCCCCTAATCCTCTTCTGCATCTGCTTTATCCTTTTTCTTCTTCTTCTTCTTTTTCTCACTCTTATCAGCCTCGCCATCACCCTTCAAGTCATCAGCGCCAGCGGGAGTCGCAGCACCATTTTCCTCAGCCTCTTTGTTTTTCTTCTTCTTTTTCTTCTCAGACTTTTCGGTTTCAGGTGAACCAGCTTCAACTTTATCTTTGTGTTCCTTCTTCACCTTCTTCTCTGACTTCTCCACATCTGAAGCCTCCAAAACACCATTCTCTTTGTCCTTTTTCTTCTTCTTTTTCTTTTCTGACTTGTCAACTTCTTCACCTTTGCTTTTCTTAGCAGGAAGAGGAACAGGGCTCTCGGCCCTTTCCTCTAGTTTGCGCTTACGACTCTCCTTAGATTCCTCTTCATCCTTGTGTTTGTCCTTCTTTTTCTTCTCCTTCTTCTCCTCTACAAGAGTGGTCTCCTTCTCTGCCGGAGCAGGTTCAGTGGCAAGCGCAGCAGCAGTGCCTGCAACAATAGAATCCCCACCTGTAGGTAAAATCACATTCCTCATCCATTCTTGAGGGGTACTCTCAGTAGGCTTCCCATGCTTATCTAATTTCCCTTCTGAAATTAACTTCTTCTTCATGGACGCCCTTGGTCCCAATCCCCACTTCCTTGGATAAGTATCCCGATCCATCACCACCCTCTTAATCTTTGCCACCACACCATGATCACAAGTTGCCATCACAGCAGTGGTCATCTCAGCAATTCCCAATGCAATTGCTTCTCCTTTGGTAGTCATAAGCACAACTTCCTCTCCAACCTCAATATCATTCTCAAACCTGAGCAGCCCTGGAATCATTAACTTGGCACCATAGCAAATGGCATTCACTGCTGAGTCCTTGACAACCAATCTCTTATAACTGGTCAACAGCACCTCAAGAGGCATGATGATCCTCCTCAAATAACTCTCATCCCTATGATTATCGTACACCCATTGAGCATCCATGACATCGTGCATGGTAACCATGTTGTCTTTCTCACCCATAATTCCAGACCTGACCCTCCTCAGCTCCTGCATATGCCCTCCCACTCCAAGAAGCAGACCCAAATGCACACACAGGGTACGCACATAGGTTCCTGCCTCGCATGAAATCCAGAAAACAACCAAATGTTTATCTGCGTCAAACTCAAGTAGCTTGCTTTCATATATAGTCCTAATCCTAAGCTGCCTCTTGACTGCTGATATCAAAGGTGGCCTCTGAAAGACAGCCCCAGTAAGGGCTTCAAGGGCCCGAGCCACCTTGGCAACATCCTGCACGGCCGAATGCAAGCGTGCAACACAGACATACGCACCCTGCTGGGACTTCACAAGTCGCGTAGCTCGGTCAATACAGACAATGAGATTACCTGTAACCTTGGGATCCAGAGTACCACTGTGGCCAGTTTTCTCTACACGAAGGATGCGTTTAATCCAAGCAACAACCTCGTGCGAGGAGGGGTTGGCAGGCTTGTCAAGATTGATAACACCATATCGGATGTACTCGGCAAGAGGGCGCTTAAGTGGGGAATACCCGGAGGGAAGAGGGGTGTAGTGTCCAGTTCGAACATTGAGGCGGTCGTAGTTTTTGAGAAGGATAGGCCACTGGGAGGTGTCCATGGAGGGAGTCGAGCTCTGGGGCTTAATCATGAAGTCTTTGTCTAAATCATCGTCTTTGTCTCTATGCTTCTTCTTCTTCTTCTCTGTATCTGTCACTTTCGCCACAGCCTTCACTGGGGTTCGTTCATCATCAGACGAAGCCATTTCCTGCACATTAAACAGAACAAAATGAACAAATAAATAGAACAATAGGTAAAACCCAACATAATATTCAAAATTTCTTCTGGACAATATTTACAAGAAAACAATAGCTCTGATTTTTCATTTGTTAAAAAAAAAAAAACTTCATTAATCATATTACTCATAACAGAGGTACATAGTGACTTTCCTATACAAAGCATTATCATTAAGATCCCAGTCCAGAGATTAACACAATATCAGGGGGTTTTACAAGTAAACAATGACGTGTTTGGCTAAAATATGAACAAAGCTTCTAAAGACAGAAGAAGAGACTTGTACATAAAAAAAAACAAACTTGAAGTACGGCCAAATAAGACCCTTCATAACAGAAAAACCCAAAAGAGGTTCTGGGTTTCTAACTTGTTTTTCAAAAAGATTACTCTTCGCATCTATCAAACTCTCCGCTTACATAGAAATGAGGAAACCATATATAAATAACTTTAAAGGGTTCAGAAGCTCTTATATGAACAAAGTTTAGTTCTGGTTTACCACAATACGATTAATTCCAATATGATCAAAGCTCTTCCAAACGTCAAGTAGAAAACCAATACCTTTGATTTTGATTTCTGCTCTGAGCAAACCCTTGGATGGGAAAGGTTGAGAGAGCGGCCACCCTGTGGTTCTCACTTCACTTCACTCGCTTCGCTTTTGTCTCTAAACCCTAGTCGAGGGTTTAAAAGCACCTTTTACTGATGCGTCGTCGAGCAAACCCAAATTGGTCTTCAATGATGAAACACTCTTTTGGGCTCACTGTTGTTTTTAGAAAAAAAATAATTTATTTTTGGCCTTTGGGCCTTGATTTGGACTTAAAAGACAATGGCCCCAAAGATTAAAGTGCTCCTTTGCGACATTATCTCAAACCCTACAAAAAAAACATTATTTACATACGTTTTCCCTCTCACCCTACTACAAGTTGCAGTAACTTCCAATTCCTGTGTGGGTTCGGTAGCGGCCTAGGCTCGGTTCGGTAATCAAATCGAGATGGCCAAATCGACAATCGATCAACGACTGTTAGAATGTCACAATTCAAAATTGTTATTGAACTGACTATCGAACTGACTATCGTTGGTTTACTAAAGGTCGATTGAACCGATAAAGTTGGTCGGACCAGTTCGGTACTGAGCCTATTGACTAGGTGTTATGGGGCTTTTTGGGCCATAAATTGAATTTTTTTTCACCAAGAATGAATACTTATGGGCAATTTTTTAGCCCAGGTGATTGTGGACAAATTTGTGGTCAACTTTTTCGGAAAGTTTTGTGTCCTGATGCACATCATTGATCATTCAAGTTATGGAAAGCCGCTCGATTCTTGCGTTCGGCCTAAGGACCTTCATATTCAAAATTCACAACAACAAAAAATCATTTTAATTCCAAAAATGTGATCGAAAAATACTACAAAGTCTTTGTAATATGCACTGAAAAATGAAATCAATTACCAAACAACTTTTGTTCACCTTTTACTTTTTTAAAAAAAAAATTAGGTATTGAACATGTTCATTTTTTAGAAAATGAAAACGAAAAATTTGAAACTGAAAACTAAAAACTGAAAATGGTTATCAAACAAGCCTTAAAAATGCATGTAAACCAACTTGTAGTTGTTTAGTTGTTTAGAACCCTAAGCTTAAATGTTGTTAGTTATTATAAGATTGTCTTTTTCCCTTTGATCCAAGTTTATATCTCACTACAAGCATCTCCAAAAGATGTCAAATTGCCACGTGGACATGAAACAGCAAAAATCAAAGGTTAAAGTTACTCCAACCGAGTAGTCAAAACCAACGTGAATCTAAAGGCTAAGATATATGTCAAAAATAACATATCAAAAAGCTTGATGTCAAATATTATCTTAATACCTTTCACTCTCTTTTAAAACTTTATGATCATATAAATCTCATTTGCTTTTAAAAATATAATATTAAAAAAAAACATGATATTGGCATTTTGGGGTAAAGTTAAATTTTTTTCGTAGGTGTCAAATTGCCACATAAGTCATCAAATTCAAATTTAACATTTTGCATTAGACATCTCCCTTGAATAAGCAATAATCTCAGCTAATAGTAGTACATCCAGATGTCCACCTGAATTTTGGGCATTTTTTCATAGAATATCACAACAGTAAATGAATGCATCGATGTCACAACTACGTATGAATTAATGCACGCTAGAGCTACAAAAGTATAGTCCAATTGCACCAAAACTGTATATACTTTCAAGACTCGTACACCAGGGAATATAAAGCAGAAAACCATGTATCCTTGGATCATGCAGAACATTCTCATTTCACAAAATATTAGCACCGTTTTAAATCAGTTTGTACAGGGAAGAGAGAAATGGGCTTGTATTCCCTTGCTCAATTAAACGATAATACTTTACACGGAACAGAGGATTAATTATAATTACAGATTTATTGGGAAAGAAATTGACATTGAACGGAACAGAGGGGGCGCAAGGCGAATTTAGCAGTTGATCAGAAATCTCAAAATGAAATCAATGATTTGTGATCATGTCCCTATATGACTGGTTTCCGGCGCCACGGCTGGTTCAAGTGATTGACAATTTCCTCAGTCTTTGCAGCCAAGGCAGCTGTTGAACAAATAGGGGGGCTGCAAGCCATGTGCCAATGGCAATTCAATCACTGGAATTTGTTTGTACATAACAAAATCATCCATCAAGGGCCCTGTCATAACTTTGAGTGCTGTCTCCAGGGGCATCCACCATCAAAAGCCTGCTCTAACACGTCTTCCATTCGCTTTGCTACTATTATCTGTTACAAAAGGATTTTTCCAAATGAAAAATACGTAGTGGTCACAATCATATCTCATACGATAAAAAACCTAACAGGGTTACAGGGGTATCTACAGCTGACAATGCAATCAAAACACCTAACAGGCTATGCAGGTGGCAAAGGTAATCATCTGGCCTTAATACAATTTATGTCCTACAAGCACCTGCATAAGTGAGAAACACCTTGCTGCAAATAAAACCAAAATTACCTCAAGACCGGAAAGCACAGCTGATGGTACTTCGATTAAGTCCTTCAGATTTCTTTCTGGAAGAATGACTCTTTTAATACCACAACGGTGGGCCGCTAATACCTGCAATAATGTAGATTCAGATAATCAATCCAAGAAAATCTATGCAATAATGTACCAGAATATTATACACCGAGAAATTTGCTGCCAACTGGGACCCAAATTTCTTGTAAAATGCTTGAAAATTCCTCAAATCCATACTGAATAGTGTAATCATCAAACAACCATGTGTCTAAAAACAAGCCTAGCAGTGACAGCACAAATTAGAAATGAGCACGGAGATGCATTGGACAACTGTGTAGTGTGTACCAAAAAGCTATTTTATTTTTATCAATCTAGCAAAGCAACATGTTGTGACATATATCTAGGTTCAATGGCTAGAGAAAGCCAACAGACATCAACAATAATAGTTACAGATGTTTGAGAAAAACAAAATCCATGTGGTCTGCATTCACAGGTATCAAAAAATTAAATTACATATGGATATTAGGTAGCTCACTCTAATTGACGAACCTAACCTCCAGTACATCTAACTCTCTTCTAAACACATTCCTTGGTAATGGAAAACTCAAAGACAGCCCTTAAATTAATTGGGTTACACAAAATAAACCAGATTGACCTTTAAATTGGTGTAAATGCAATTGAACCAGATAAGCGGTAAAACCAATACACGAACACACACACATGTATGTTGATTGATTTTCAAAATTATACCAGAAGTGCGGATCAAGCTAGCAAAAGCGTAGCACGGGCTCCATGAGCTTAAAACAGACCTGGCAGGATATCTAATAGTCGTGCAGAACTTGGCAACATTGTGGGCCATACCAAACACGAACACACGCCAGGTACAACTCATATCACAACAAGGATTAAAAACATTTAAATCTAGCATGAATATGTCAATGCTTTGTGTTTGTGCCATGCTTGAAGAAGGAAAGGACAGAATTTAATGGGTGATGCTGGCATCACAAAACCTATTTTACATCTATAATTTAGGACTTAAGGCATCTTAAAATTTTAATAAACGTGCATCTCACACAAAATTCTTATCATAAAGGAAATTAAAACTACTTAGATACTAATTCCTTGAAAATAAACCCACTCAATTATGCATCAAGCATCAATTTGGCTAGATGATGGTTATGGAAAATAGAAAAGAAGCTAAAATGGAATGACTGTTGAGTAGTAGCCTGGCGATTATAAAAATGAAAGTACTACTAAAAGTGAAATCTCTATGCCAGACAAGTATGATGTACAATATTTGTCCATAAAAGGTTAAAACCAAGGTCGCATCTATGGTCATGTTAACATGCCCAACATGCACACAAGCCAAAGCACTTGACAAGGCAGTGACTGCAAACTGCAAACTAAGAACATGACTAGATACAAAAGCCATCATTTCATTTTGTAAGCCACGTATAACATGTTTTATACATGGAAACCGACTTATGTACAAAGTCACAGCTATATACTTCTCATAAGAATAGTAGGACATAAGGTGTACCTTATCCTTGATACCACCAACAGGTAGTACAAGACCTCTCAATGTCATTTCTCCAGTCATAGCTGTATCTGCTCTTACTCTTTTCTGACTGAACAACGAAACCAGTGCAGTTACCAGAGTCACACCTGCTGAGGGTCCATCCTTAGGTACAGCCCCGGCAGGAAAATGTATATGAACATCCCGACCCTCCAAAAGATTGGTTTCGTCAGCTGTTGCCAACAGAAGATCTCTTGCCCTGGCTCTTACCTGAGAGATAATTAGTCTTCAAAACTAACTTTTACATGAGCAGCAATTATGACATTATGATTCATGACTATATTTAGTGCACACAGGACTAACATTTCTCTCTATCATTCAATCCCAGAAACAGAAGTAAATATGACTAGGATCTCAACAGAAATGCCTCCATCAGTAAAAAGCAACACTTTGTACTTTTAAAAATTGAGAATAAAAAATTGGGAGTTTCACTAAAACACCCAAAATGGGGGTTGAAATTATAAAAAGACCCAAGCACTATTTAAACATATAAACACACCCAAAACCCATCATTACACACACTCAAAACCCATTTATAAACACACCCAAAAAGTTGACTTTGGGGTTTATTTTGGGTGTGTTTCTATGTTTAAATAGTGCTTGGGTTTTTTTATAAATACATGTCTAGGATTGGGTTTATTTATAAATTTGTATAAAAAATTCTCATATTAGCCATTCTAACCCTAAGCCTTGCATCTCAATAAAATACTAGGTCTCTCCACCTATTTCCAATTGGTTTGGATTGGATGCTCCAACTTTCACATGGTATCAGAGCCTGTAATCCATCCACAAGGTATGGCCAATTTGGCCACACATGCTCCAGGCCACAAATATAATTGATCTGCATCTGGCTCAGTCACTACACGTGAGTGGACGTGCTGAGAACAAAAAAATTCTCACAACGGGTATTCAAAGCCCAAGCCTTGTATCTCAACACACAAAATACTGGGGTCAGGGAGGGGGGGTCGTGGATCATCTTTACCATTGCCAATTATTTTTTAGCTGGATGCTCCAATTTTAATCTCACTATTTATGGGAAAGCAACGAGGCATGCAAACTTCAATATCACATATCCCCAAATTGAAACTGACAAGTATCGAACTTCTGTGTT